TGTGAATCTGCTGTGTTTGGACTTTGAGCTGTGGACTCTTGGCTTTGGGTGTTAGCTTGCAAGGTAAGCTTTCGTGTCCTCAGTTTAGCCATGTTGTGGTTCCACCATGTCCCATGGGGGTATGCTTATATGCATGCTGTGTTACATGCTTTGAATATTTGAAATGCTGATGAGCTTTATGTGTTAATGGCTTTTAATATGCATGTGTTGTTCCATCTTGACGGTAAGCCTGAGTATGTGGTGTCATACAAGACGGTGATCCGGGGTGGATGCAAGTGGCGTCTTGCACTATGTGTGGGTTTAGACGTATATAAATCTTGCATTTCTCTGGCCAGTAGAATATAATTGACACACATGACATGATTATGTGCTGCACTGCACTGTTTTAGAAATGATATTGATGAACTGCTTTTAAACTTATATTTCACATGTAAGTGAGCTTGGGGTGGAAGATCCTTGAGGACCCCTTGTCTTACTTAGATTTCTGGTTTAGAGATCTCACCCCATGTTTGGGGAATGCTTATTTCAGGTTCAGGTAGTATGGTGACTGATGCCTCTGGCGGCAGGAGGCCAGAGCTTAGCTGATTATAATATTTATGCTATATTGTTGTCATGACTGGATTGGATGCTGTTTATGTTTTCTGCTCTTTATGTTTTGAGTTGAGACTTATGTTGGGCTTTGTTGCCTTATTTGGGTGAGCATGAGAGTTGTCCATGCCACTATGTTGTTAGTACTTTTGAGTCGAGTTGTATAAACTGCTAGTGGTCCGGTCTACGTGTTGTAGTTCCGTGACTAGAGACATACATTATGTTATTTTAATTAATTAGGTATTTCAATTAGCTGTTTTATTGCAATTGCATGCAGGCGATGTTTTATTAATTGATTAATAAGCAAGTTGGTAATGATAATGACTTCATAATTGAAAAGAAAAAGATATTCCGCATTTTTAATTAAGTGCAACTTAATACGATAGTATGATAACATTACCGGATATATACGGGGTGTTACACAATGTTATCTCCAGCTACTAAATCATAATCGTACAAAGATGGATCAATGGTGATAAAGGAAGAGAGAGAAAAAGGGAATCATAACCATTCAAAGGTGAATGAATTAACATAAGGAAATAAATAAACAAAACGATGTAGTTTTGGGGTGGCCGAAGATAACATTGTCTCAAGCAACTTGAGAAATATTTTTCCCATATATATATATAAACACCATGAAAGCTTACCAAAAAAATATAACACCATGAAAGTGGGCCTTGGAAGAGTCGACATTGGGCCCACAAGAGGAGATTAGGGATGTTAATGGGCCAAGCCGAGCCGAGCTTTGGTCTTAAAAGGCTAAGCCTATGTTAAATGTGTCAGCCTGACCAAGCCTGTTAACTGTTATAAATATAATTATCGGCCTGTGGTCTGGTTTATTTACAAAAAATAAAAGTCTGGTTTATCCTGTTTAAAAAAAATAATACAACAAAAATTTATCCAAACAAAATATAAAATCAACAACATTAGTAATTCCATAAATATTCATAAATTCAATATATATCCAAACAGCATAATATAGAACAAAATCATTCAAAAAGTATATTTAACCAATAAAATGGGGTGGAATGAATTGAGGAGAAAGAGAGGGTTATTACAAGTAGTATAAAAGATATAAAATTAAAAAAAAAATATACTAGGCTAGCCTGAGAGGCTCTAAGGCCGAGCTTTTAAATTGGAGTCTGATGCCTTTTTATTAAACGAGCTTTCATACAAGTTCAAGCCTGATATCAGATCGATGCCAACAACCAATTTTAGACATGTAAGCTCAGGCCTTCACGAGCCGAGCCAAAGACACCTGAAAGGTCCTGGTTCGTTTAGCACCCCTAGAGGAGATAAAAGGTATGAGAAAGGACTATCATATTGTAGGGTTTGAAATTGCTTATTTTTATATCATTTTTAATCACTCTAATAACGAAAGTTATCTCAAGAAGTTTATTTCAATGTTATTATTATCATAGAACTTGTCCGATTAATATTTTAATTTTTTTTTATAAATATGTAACAAAATAGTAATTTTTTTTAGGCATTTTAATAATTCGTATTTTTATGATAATATAACTTTTGTATTTTATTAAATTAATGAATACATTTTGATTGTATTTTTATGGAAAAAAAAAACAAAATGTTCAAAACTAAAACAAAATAGTACATAAAAATTTGAAAATTTAAAAATTATTATGAAAATACTTTTCTATTATATAGAAATAAATATGCTCTGCATGTTTAGAGCTATTATTAGGACCTACTTGCACACTGAAATAGTTAACGCTCAACAGGTAGCAAAACTGCTTTCTCTTTCAACCCTCAATTAATTAGTAATTAGTAATCTAATAAAAAAACAAGAAAAGAGTCTGTGTTCTCCTGCTTTAAAGCTGTTTATCAAAAGTCTATACTAATTTATTCACTTGAATATATTTAAGTTATTAATCAAGTTCATATGCATGCTGATGAATCCTTTCACGCCTAAACTGCATGCGCCGTATATGTGACGCATAGCAATATAAATTACAAACTTAATACTATGAATAAGACAAATAAGAATAATATTTTTTCCCCTTTTCTTATGGGATATATATATATATATATATATATATATATATATATATATATATATATATATTAGGGTTACATATGTGTGCGTGTTGTAATATCAAGTAACACGATCCATTTGTCTTTTGGAGAGAAGGAAAAGGGCAGGATTTCGTTTTTGTTACACTTTATTTTCCGTTGTCTTGCATGTCATTAGATGAAGAAGTAATCATCCGAAATCTCAGCCAGGAATAAAACCACCTAAATTAACCTATCCGAAATCAGAAAAGAATAGTGTATATGTGATATTGTTTTCAATACTGTTGTGTAATCATGTGATATTGTTAAATTATTGAATAGAACTTTTATAACAACTACCTAGAAAGTCCAACATTTTAAAATTTCTAATGATTCGTAAACACATAATTAATATCGTCATAGAAATTATTTTAAAGATTTGTTAACAAGTACCTAAAAAATATTAGTTAAGAAAACAAAACTAAAAACTGTTATATAAGTAAATAATTTGCTGCGATATCAACATATTTAATACTCAATTATTTCAGGAGCAAAAAGCATTTAGTAAAGAGTATTAATTGTTTATTTACCAATATCATTTTAGGAACTGGTTGGAAAGTTCCAAAAGCTTTACACTGATTTTTTTTTTTTTTTGGATTACAATGGGAATGGAATACTACACACACTGCACTACACACACTACACTACTCACCACTAGGCTAACCCTAGTGGATCTAAAGCTTTACACTGATGAATCATACTCTACATGTATTTCAGTAGTTGGTGGATCCTATCAAGTGTTAATGAATTGAAAGATTACAAAAGTCTATAGATCCAGTTCTAAAATGTGTGCTTTCCAACTTAATTAATGCTCTAACAAGACCTTCAAACCGAAGGCGTTATATTGATGAAATAAGACACGGCTACGATAATTAAGAAAAAGTGAAGTTCTGGGACCTAGCAATGACCTCTCAAAAAAGTGTAGGAGCTATAGGACTGGTTAATGAAGAAGAAAGCTGGTATAAGAGACAGCACTCTCTAAGCAAATGCTCCGTTGTTCACAAGGACCACAGATTAATCATGAAGGGTTTTTTTTTTTTTTTACAGAAATGAATCACGAAGTTGAGTAAATTTTATCAAATAAGTTTTTTTTTTTAATATATCCACTTATTCATAGATTAGTTGATTAGTCCAAATTGAGATCTTATTTTACCAATAAATTTTGGATAAGGCCTTAATGCAAGTTTAGGACAAGGGAGTAAGTATGAATTGCATGTGATGTCCTTGTACCCAACATTTTAAATTACTTCTTAAAAGCTAATTTAACAATTTATATTTGACACATTGTCTAATTTTCAAGGACTTGAGTCTTGAATCACCTTCTCTACCCAAATATATTAATGTAATTAAACTATTTGATGACGTAATCACAGCATCAGAATTGTATGTCCGTGGCTGGTATCTCCTCAAGAAACAAGGCTATCGGGGCTTCATTTGTCTCTTTTTATTGCTCTTTGTTATTATATATATATATATATATATCCATTCGTGGTTGAGAGCCCAACTGCATGATATAATGATTTACTAAAAAGAAAAGAAGGAAGGGACACCTTGAGTGGAAAAATATACTAGATTACAAACTTTGAAAGAAAGATAGGGTGACGCTTTATATTGGCCTTTTTTATTGTGGGTCTTGAATGAAACTATATCATTCAAAATCATCAAAAGATTATCTCAAGAAAATAACGTTTTATGTAATTGGCCTATGGATGCATTATTAATATAGTCCTAGCGCAAGTAGATTCCTACTTTCCTGACAAGATTGTGATTTAGGAGATGGCCCCTTCCCATTAAAGTCTCCTCAATGGCACTGGTTACTTTGAGTTGGTGAGAGGTGTACAGCAATGTATATATATATATATATATATATATATATATATATATATATATGTATGTACGCTCATAATAACTTTGTACTTCGGATCTAATTTCTTCTGGTTATTTCACTTTACTTTGAACGGCAGCAACCTCGAAGCAATTTCATTTATTAAAAAGTCGAATATTTTTCTGTTAGCTGGACGTTGTCAACACTCAACACCAAATCCATATGCATCTGATTTTCAACCATATGTAATTAGAATTCAAAAAGAAAAAGAAAAAGAAAAAGAAAAAGAAACCGAATTGTTAGGTTAACAATCCCACAAATAATAAAAAAAATCTCACACAATAAGACAAATAAGTAAACATCCACTTTCCTTTCCACATGGCCATTGCAATTTGGAACCAAACCATAGGCTCAACCAACACCATAAACAAAATTTAACAAGATCTGCAAATTTTATTCAACTATAATTCGAAAATATTTTATAGATATAAAAAAAATAAACAAAACAAAGAACAACTCATCATGCAAGTTCTATTTTTTTTTTTTAAATCTGGACAGGATTCTCCAGCCAGCCGGTCATCCTCTATCTCTATAATACATTAATACCAACCTATATATCATATAATTTTTCCTTAAATATAAATTTATATATTACTTTAATGTTTTTATTTACAAATTACAGCACAAGTAGTACACCGTCAAAAACAGAGCTCTCCACCGACAATCAAACACTTGAATGAGATCACATAATGGAACAAGAATTGGGGTTCTCATCGCTGAACATCTGAGGAGGAGGGGGTTGAGAGTGCATGAAGAACGGTGCTGGTGGCTGTGCAGGATAGTATCCATGATTCTCGTACCCGTGGTTTACGTACGCAGGCTGCACGTAATGATTATCGTAACCCGAATGAGCCTCCATAGCATAACCGGTTTGACCAGCAGAAGAGTGTCCATCGTACCAGTACGCGGGAGGTAGTGGCGGGTACTGATATTCCATTTTGTTAACCTCCACCATCGCCGCCGCTGCGGCCGCACCCTCCGCCTTCTCTTTCTTATCGCCACCGCCTTCCTTGTTCTCTTTCTCTTTCTCTTTCTCTTTCTCTTTCTTATCTTCGTCTTTCTTAGGTGGGACCACCTCGACCTTTCGCTTCAGCTTCTCGTTCAGATACGGTACCAACTCCTTCTCATTCATAGTTCCCTTCACAATCACCATGTCCTTCCCTAAGTCAAGGTTCACCGAATCAACACCTGCATGCGCAACACCATATCAATATCCTCAATTAGCCACACTCAACCGCCACTTCATTAATTAATTAATTAATTAAAATAATCAATTTTTTTTTAAAAAAAAAACAAAATTACGCGAGTTGTGATTTAGGTGTTAGGTCAACTCTCTCTCTCTCTCTCTCACCTTGGTACTTCTGGATTATTCTTCGAATTTTTGTAACGCAACCGTCACAGTGCAACGCGATCTTCAAAACCACCGTGTGCTGAACCAAATTAACCAGTTAATAAATTAATTAAGGTAATTAAATTAAAGTATGAAGGATGAACAAGACAAAAGAAAAAAGATTAATTATTATAAATATATACCTCTTTAGGCTTATTTTCTTCGGGCTTTTTGTCTTCGGGTTTCTTCTCATCGGACTTCTTCTCCGGCGGTTTTTCAGCGGCGGCGGAGGCGTCTTTCTTGGGCTGAGGGGACACAATCTCAACGTTCTTCTTGGTTTTGTCGGCCAGTTTATCACGGAGTTTGTTGGAGTCCATTTTACCAGTAACTGTTAGTTTGTTAGCCGACAGCTCAGCCTTAACGTTTTCCACACCTGCATATGAGCATATCCCCAATTTTCAGTTTTTTTTCTTTTTTTTTCTTTTTTTATCAATTTCAAATCTCTAATTAATTAACGACTCTTCAAATTTCTGATTGATAATTTTACCTTCGAAATGGCGAACGGTTCGTTTAATCTTCTTGACGCATCCCTCGCAATGCAAGTCCAACTTGTAAACGACAGGTGCAGGTCCGTCGTCTTTCTTGGCTCCTCCATCGTCAGGCTTTTTCTCGGTCTCATTCTTCTTCGGCTGCTCCTCCTTTTTCTGCCATATAACATAAACGACACATGAATTAAAGAAACGCGTCGGTTAACGGTTAAGACCAAAAAGGAATTAAATTCCAGGAATCTGGAATATGCTACTACTCTGATTGAGAATAAGGGGGAACACATGAAATTAAAACTAACCTCTCCCATTTGGTGTTTGGCTAATAAGATATGATAAAAAATACTATTGTGGTGTTGTGATAGCTAAGATAAGATTATGCTAGTTTATTTGAAGCATGGAAATATAGAGTAGGGAGGGGAAATATATATATATATAAAGAACGGAGTGTGAGTAACGATGGGTGGGTAATGGGGTTGGTTGGGTCGGATAGGGATGGGATTGCGTCATGCGTTATGTATGTGTATGTATGGTGTGATGTGGTAGGAATGATTGATGTTTGGGACCATGGGAGGGGGAGAAGTGTATATAAATTTTTTATTATTATTTGTGTATACAGATACAATAAATAAGTAAATAACTACGGATTTGGAATGAATGGTGGCATGTATATTTAAAGGTTTTTAGGGCGTCGCCGCCGAGCAGGACTTACTGTAATCGAGAAAAGCCGGCATCATGACCGAAGATTCATCATCTAATTTTCTGGACTCTAGTCTCACTCACCAAACGAATTAACCGATTTAATCGAAAACAACAAAAGAGCTGCGATATTGTAAATTCCCCTTCATATATTTTGGATATGAATCATACTTCGTATTTAGATAATAATTTTAGTTAATAAAGATATAATTGAGTAATTTGTAATAAGTGTAACTAAAAAAATATGATACAAATAAGATAAATGTAGCTTACATTAAATAAAGACTTTTATAAGAGTTATGTTGTAGTAAGAGTGATTGTGAAATGTTATAGAGATTCGTTTTGCGTGTCGTAATTTTCTTTTTTTCTTCAAAAAGTGTGGGTCCCACAAAATATTGTATGTGTAGGAAAGTTTGTTGTGTCATGTTAAATGACAAATATAAACCCCTTAAATAAATCAGGTAAATTATATATCCACTCCTCTCCATTTTCTTTCATTTCTGTTTTAAATGGTATGTTATGTAATTGTGTCGATTCCAACAATATATCATTATACATAGAAAGCATAGGCACATCTTACATTAATATAACGGTTTTATATATATCATGTTGTAGGAAACTTGGAATGTCATATTACTTTCCCAAAAAGTGATGGCCTTATTTGTTTTCTTTTTTCTTTTTTCTTTTTGAGTGGGATACATATGAAATGTATTAGAATAACATACATTATAAGTCTCCTATAACATGACATATATAAAACTCTTAATATAATAATATGAAATCTTGTATTAAATCTTAATTCTTTATTTTCTTATATTTAATTATTTATATATTTAATAAATTAGAATCTTTAAATATAAATAGAATAAAAAAATAATATTGATAATATAACTTATATTAATATAAAATAAGGGATTAATATTTCTCGTGAGAAGAGAAGAGAGAGAAAAAAATAGATCTTACACATTTTATGTGTGTGTGTAGGAGATAAAATTATCTCCTATAATATAAGAAATATTAATTTCATAAAATAATCATGTTCAATATATATGAGTCTAATTTTATTTTATTTTTGGTAAACTATATGAGTCTAATTTTAAATATGAAAGATTGTGTTTTAATAAAAAATTTATGGGAAAATACTGTAAAAGATATATAATAATATTGTATGACACTTCTTGTGTCATGTCATAAATACATAAACATTGTGGGTTCCACTCTATAGAAAAAAAATTGAAATAAGTCTTACACCTTTTTGACTGAGTAGAAAAAAAAAGTTGTATCATATAAATATTAGAAATTTTCCTTTATGTGGGCAATATTAATTAATTAGTTTTGTTTTTTAAATTTAATCGGGTTAATGAATATTTCAATTGTATTATTTTGATAAGTCTGTTGTGATCGTGTTGAGTTGAGCTTTTGACATTTGTTAGTATTGGGCCTAGTCAGGCAGTAGTGTAGGCTTTAGTGTGACCGTGCTTTTCTGTGATGGGTGGACCCAGTGAACACAAACTCTTTTCAGGGTATTTGGCTAGGTTCCCTCTCTAGCCTATTTATATTGGGATTAAATCTCATTAGTCGTGATGCTCTCATTGCAGAAGGCTGCCACTTTCAGAATAGGTCATAGAGAAAAAGATTCTGGTATGCTGTCCCTTCTTTTGATAGCCCAACAAGATATGCACATGTCCCAACAAGGTACACACAATTGTAACTTTGATTTTATATTATTTCGGTATTTTATAATCATGTACATGATCTAGGAATTATAAATCTATCAATAAAATGACACTTCTATTTTCCAATAATAATTTGATATCTGTAATACATAAGATCTTAGCAATTCAAGTATATTGCTATCATTTTTTATTTTTTTTGGTAGACGTATACTGCTATCACTTTGCTTGGTGTTGCATTAGTAATTTTTTTTTAATTCTTGTAAATCTGTTCTTTCAAAAAAATCTCTTTTAATATAAACTTATTTAAAAGATGAGTAAGTAAGGATACACTTACCCTTGAATTTTAGTAAATAAGATTTTGATGCACTTTATATATATAATGGGGTTGTCGAATATCATGTTATAGGAAAAGGGAAAGATTCCTCTAGAGAGAAAAAAATGGTACGACCCACGTTTTCTAGAATAAAAAAAAAGTCAGGTACGTGATTAGGGGAAATATTCTCATAGTGCGTACGTAAGTGTGTTTCCCATGAAAAATAATACGCTATGTATGTCTAGTTTAAAATTAAATTCACTTTAAAGGAGTCTTATCATTCACTTTCTTTTTGGTATGGTTATCATTCACTTTTTATCATAATTAAGATGAGAAAAGTTATATTTATAAATTTTTTATTTACAAAATATACTATGTATTAAGAGTAGTGCATTCCACTACATAATGTATTATCCCTAATACATAATGTAGTTTGTAAAAAAAAAATTATGCTATTATAATTATAAAAATAATACATCAAATACTTTCATTAATAAAGATCGATTCAAATTGATTACAGATTAATTTAGAATCTAATTTAAATAAAGAAACAACTTTTTAGTAAACATAGGACAAGTAAAAAGTAAAAAAATAGTTTCATTAATAAAGATCGATTCAAATTGATTACAAATTAATTTAGAATTTAATTTAAATAAATAAACAACTTTTTAGTAAACATAGGACAAGTAAAAAGTAAAGAAAATAGTGTATATTGATGTATTATTTTTATAATTATAATAGCATAAAAATTAAGAAAAAAAAATAAAAAAACAACAAATACTTGAACTGTGGCCCCTAGCCTCTTTGTTCACAAAGAACAATAATAATGAAGAAAATATTAAAAATATAATATGATAAATCAATTCATGAGATATCAAAATTAATTTTTTATTAATCTTAACACCTAAATAAAAATCTTTTAATTTGCTTACGAAAAAAATCTCTTAATTTGAGATAATAAGGTTAATACTAATCCAAAAAAAATCACAGATTGCTGATTATGGAAAAAATTGCTCGATGGGGTGGAGGTTCTGATTTGTGCCCGGTTTGCAAATCTGAAAGTGAAACAATCCTTCATGCTTTAAGGAATTGTCTTGAGGTGAAAAATCTTTTTTTTTTTGGTATATAGAGGTGAAAAATCTTTGGGTCAAGTTGTTTCCCATCCCTTTCCCATCAAGTTTTTTTTAGGCTGAGTTGGAGCACCGGATAGAGATTAATATAAAAGGTATTGTGCGTTTTAATTTACCTAGTAATTGGAACTCAGTTTTTTTCATATCAGTGTGGAAGATTTGGAGCTGGCATAATGAGGTTCGTCACGGGGCTAATATTTTGGACCTTAATATAAGGGAGAGTATTATTAAAAATATGGTAAGGGAGGTTGATCAAGCTTTTATATATGTCACCTAATAGTCATCAGTTGGGTAGAAGGACTGTGGTTGTTAACATTGCCTGGCAGTTTTTGGAAATGAGTTTTGTAAAAATTAATACTGATGGTGCTGCTAGAGGTAATCTGGGTCCAGCTGCTTGTGGAGGTATTATTCGGGATTCTTCTGGAAAGTGGTTAAAAGGTTTTGCTTTCAAACTTGGTGCTTGTTCAGCTTTCAAAGCTGAATTGTGGGGAATCCTTCGTTGTTTGAAGCTAGCGTGGAGTGAAGGTTTTTGAAAAATTGAGATTGAAAGTGATTCAAAGAGTGCTATCTCTGTGCTCACCAAGGAGGGTGGAGCAGTCTGTGAGGGTTATCTGATTACTCGAATACGGACATGGTTACAAAAAGATTGGAGAATTAAGATTAGCCATACTTATAGAGAGGGTAATGCTTGCGCAGATTGGATGGCAAATTATATACTGGATGCTGAAGATGGTGTCACAAAAGTTTTATGTGGGAATCCTCCTACTAGCATTTATTTCTTGTATTTAGCTGATCTCTCTTCTGTGGGAGAGATCGTGCTTTAGTTGTAGCTTAGTTTCTGCTTGTTTTGTTTGGGTTGTAGCCTTTTAATTACCAAAAAAAAAAAAGTTAATACTAATCAATTGAAAAAATTAATGAAAAAATATGACGATACGAAAAGCAAGGAACGGAGAGACTGGAGTAATATATATAATTTAATAGTTATGTAATCTAATCTATCATATCTATCTATAATTTAATAGTTATCTAATATAATACGAGAAGTGTTAATAAATTAAGGCTCATCACAGAACTATATATCGAGTTAAATCCTTATTTATATAAACGTACGAAGGAAACATTTATTTTTTATTAGTTTTAAATCTATTGTTTTAATTAAAGCAAATGTACTTTGAAACGAAATAAAATACTTGGAGGTATATATTTTTCATATCAATAATGTTAATTGCACGTCAAATTTAATTTTTAGGTAATAAAATAAAATAAAATAATTCGATACACACAATTTCTTCTTCTTCTTCTTCTTCTTTTCCAAATCAAGTGTAACAAAAAGTATGATAAAAGTGATAGACAAGAATTATCACCCTTTTAAAATTAAACCATGTTTTTATCTGTACTACAAGTCATGTTTACTGTTAAATAAATAAAAAGGTTTTAAATGGATTATCATATAGTTAATATATTATAAACCTGAATCCTCTAAAATTTATTTTAGAATTGCTAGTTTAATTTTCATCAAGGGCTCAAATTCTCCACGGAAAATCCAATTTTTCTCTCTAATGTGACCAATCATACAACATACTGAGTGCGCTTTCTTCTTTCACATTCTTCTCT